CCCCAAAACCCCAAAACCCCAAAACCCCAAAACCCCAGAATTATTATTCAATATTGGATATTTTAAATATGAAAATTTTGCCATTGTTGTTCACCCTAGTACTTTTATTAGGGACTCTAAAAGCCTTAGAAGAAACAGATATAGGTATATTTCTTAAGTGCATTATATATAGATAGCCTCTTCGATGACGAGAACTTTGATGAAGATTATGAATCTGAGCATCAAATTTTTGATACAGAGTCAGACCAGAGACATAAACAAGAAGAAATTCCTTCACAAGAAATTCCTCCAAAGAAGGACACCAAGCAAGAGAATACTTCCAAAGAGGAGCCTATTGGGTAATGTAGAGGTGGTAATCTCATAGATATTTCAAGAAATTCTTCTTCGATTTTCTGATTCTGTTCTCAGTTTCCTCTTACGGGTTTAATTACATTTGGGGAGTGTACAAAAACAGAAAAATTGCCCTTGATATTGCCATACAATCGAAGGGTTTCCTGACAAAGCACTTTACCACTTGTGGTAGAGAATCTGAAGATAATGAAGCAGGGTTGGAGTTAGACCACTCTCATCAGTTTGAATACTACTGCAATGGAAATAAGTATACACATTACTTGTACATTTCAATCTTCTTGAAGAGGAGACAAGATCTGTTCACAATGATGTTCAGGACATTCTGATTTGCTGAAAAAGATAGGATTTGGATCGAAGCTCCAATCAAATGCGAAAAGCCATTAGAGTTTTTACTCATTCAGAATAAAGAGACAACGGATGCTTTTGAGAGTATGGAGCACCTTAAAAGGTTTATTCAGCCTGATAAAGTTTCCAAGTTAAAGAACACTTCATTAACTTTGTTTGTGGAACATAGTGCTATAACTGAAGAAATTTTCACAGATGAAATGCTTGATTTAATTCAGCAATTAGAAAAATCTATCGTAACCTTGCATGTGACAGACCAACTGTGCTACAATAATTATAGTTTGTGCTTGAAAGCTCAGGTTGCCATATTTGCATCAAGGGATTACAAGATGCCTATTCTTAAAACTCTTGAGTTAATCATGCTCCTGGCAACACGTATTTCTAAAAACTACAAAATACCTCAAAGAGCGAGCAAAGTAATTAAGGAGCATAGGAAAGACTCTAAATAATACTTAAATAACTTACCCTCTTAATCAGGGGTTTTGGGGTTTTGGGGTTTTGGGGTTTTGGGGTTTTGGGGTTTTGGGGTTTTGGGG